CCCAAAAGAGCTGCTGCTACAATGATGAATGGTACTTATGTTTCGGCTCACAGATTTTAATTTAGATTTATTTGGTTTAATGGTGCTATTACACAACATCATTAAAGTAAGAACATAGCAAAAGCACCTACTCATTAAAGATTAATGTCTATGTTGATAAATAGTCTTAAAAATATGTAATCAGAACACCATAAAATATAATTGCGTCACAAAACCAAGTCCCTCCCATTCTTCCTGCAGAAAAAAGTCAAAAGAGGTTTAAAAAATATCATGATTGTTTTTAGTTCAAATTAGTATTGGTTCCGACCTTCCTCAAGGAACGAGTAAGGAACTAAAGGGCAAGGTGTTTTTTCAGCGCAACTTCAGTAACATCATAAAACTGTAAAGGATCGAGTTCGACGTTAAAGTAAAGCCTTCTTAGTCGTGACTCGAATTCCGAAAAACTCAGTCCAAAAAAAATTCTTCGTCGAGAAAATTTTGTCCGATTAATGATTTTTTTCCAAAAATTGCTGATATTTTTTTCGAGAATTGGTGAATTTTTTTTTTGAGAATTGGTGAAATTTTTTTGAGAATTGGTGAAATTTTTTTCGAGAAATGGTGAATTTTTTTCGAGAATTGATGAATTTTATTTTCGAAAATTGCTGAAATTTTTATTTTAGTTTTTTGAAAATTACTAAATATTTTCTTTTCAAGATTTGCTGAGAATTTTTTTTTGATAACTGAGGAGCAGCTGTGAAAAACGTGAGTGAAGGTTAATTGCTTTTTCGGTCGAAGTTAAGAATGACCTGCAAAAGATCAAACGAACTTTGTAGATGAAAATATGATTAGTTTTTATTGATTTTTTGTTGCTGTGATGAAATAATCGCACTTCGAGATAAGTAAAAGACTCTGAAGTTGTTTTGGTCCAAATATAACTATAAAAAAATACATCGACGGAGTTTTTTCAATGCATTGATGAACGCTCCACTAAAGTAAAAAAAAAATTGTCAATTAAAATAAATCTTAAGCTTTGAGTACAGTAGTGGTTTCTGATTGATGAAATCTGTCAATTATTTCCTGCTCGATCTGCAAGTGGAAAGAAATGTCCAGATAATAGGCTTAATATAATTTTTTGCTGCTTTTTCCCTCATTTTTCGCTAAACTTTCCTGCTTTGCTTCTTTTTTCCAGTTAAAGCTATTGAATTGCGAAAGCTATGGCAATTCAGAGTTATAAATAGCTTAAAAAGCTTAATATAGTCTCATTGAAAAATACCCCAAATAGCCTTTTCAGAAAATGGTAATTTAATTGGGCAGAATTATATCAAGTTCGAAGATTAAAAAGCCTAAATCGTCCGTAAAAAAGTGAGGGCCCAATATCTCATCGCGTCGTGTCATTTAGTTTGAAAACGGAAAAATTAAGACAGTTTCAAAGAAAACCATAACCTGAGTGGAACGAATTGATATGATTTCTCAATCCACTTTTTTAGGTAGTCAACTACGAACAACGTCATAGTTATTTCCACTTTGTGAAGTTGCCGGGACAAAAATGCGTGTATTGAAACTCAAATAATTCTTTTCCAAATTCGTAGTTAGAGAAACTAGAATATAGTAAAACTCGAACAAATCAAATTTTCAGCAAATCAATTCAAATATTTTAGATTTTTTGAGCAATTAATTTCTAAAAAAATAATTAATTCGCTTTTTTTTATGAGTAAACTTATCTGAAGCACGCTGTTCATGAAAATTTTTTGCAATGAACGCTGAAACATATATCAATAAGCATAGTTTTGATAGCTTTAAAAAAATGCGAAAAAAAAAATCTGTTCAAAGAACTTTGTTTTATTAATCGAAAAGTTAAGCAATCAACCAGCAAATGGAAATCTCTACGGCATAAATCGTGATCTGTTATTTAACTGAACACAGCAAAATTTTTGCAAAATGAAGAGAAAACCAAATTTTTTTTGAGTTTTGCATCACATTAATAAAAGTTATAAATTTAGATCTAAGATCTCAGTTCATTTATCAGCACTCATTACTACTTTTGAGGGCAAAATATGAGTTTCTGATTTTGTATCTTTTCAGCTGTGGTTCCGATTTTACTCTATCTCAAGCTCTCATCGGGTTCGAAACAATATGGCTAAAGGTGTTTCGGTTTTCATAATTATGAAATTCGAAGCTTTGTGATCATTCATTTGAGCATCAAGCTCCGATCTCAACCCTGTCGCATAATGTACAAATACTCAAAGGTTGCTTCGACGCGCTGTTTTTCGTCGGTATATGCTGTGATACTCATTTTGCTTCAAGATTTTCAGCAATGGTTCAATTTTTTTCTAAGAAATGCTCATGTTGCAAAGTTTTTTTCGCCATTTAGCACTGGTAGAAAAACAGTTTCAGGTACTGTACTCATACAGTAACTTCAGATAATGTACACTGTCTGTTCGTCACGCTATCTTATTTTCGGCCGGATAGATCTTCTGAATCTAATACCAATCTTAATCCTACTCTTATATCTCCTAGTCCCAATAGATCTAGTGTATACTGGTATTTACGAGTTAGTTCTGTGTGTTTATCCAGAAGAAGAACAACTGTAGTCTAAAATTTATTCAAATTGTTCTGGTGCTGAAACTACAAGTAGTTTCAGCACTTACAAATAAGTGTCAATGTTATTGATGGAATATGATTGGTTAGTTAGTAATACTTTATAGAGATTGTTTTATCAATAATATAATTGGTTTATAAATACTAGTTTAGAACTGGTTCCACACCTTTAAAACACTACATACAAACTTTAATAAAATTTTGAACTTAATTTTTAAAGTTCATTACGAGACCAAACTGTGCAATAATTAGGCAGACAATTTAATAATTGTAGGTCTCTGGAATCCAGAGACAAATCTTTAAAATTGTTGGAAGTTTGTCCAAAACAATCAAATAAAGTGCGAAAGAATAAAAAAGAGCAAAAAGAGCTTCCTTGTTGCGGAATCCACTTACAATTAAAAAGAAAAACACAGTTGGGCTTCTTAATGTTTGAAAGGTAAATGTCGAAGAGAACCCGTTTCGTATTCTCGTTACTTTTTATAAAACCCATTCGAACAGTTGTAAGAAATTATCCAAAGTATCGGTTCTTTTTCAAAAATAAATGGCAAATAATAACTGGTAATTAAAAGGCAAATTAAACCTCTGGAAAAAAATAAACTGGTGAAAATGTGAAAAACGTGAAAAAACTTCAATAAACTTTTTTCAACTGGTTCTTGAAAATTTTTTTTGTAGTTGGTTCCGCATTTGCTTGATGAGCATGTAGACGGAATAGTAGGTTTGTTTTTAAAGTGACTAGTCTGAATTGTAACTGAGACCACAGGCAATTTTTGGGATTATACTTTTAAACGAGGTTTATAATGGGATCATACTTCTAAACGAGTACCTATAGCTGGCCTTAAATTGCTCAGAAAAAGGTCGAAAAAAATCATATCGAGCAAATTTTTGCGTTTAGGAGAATTTTTTTTTATGAAAAAAAAACGTAACTAAGCTGTTCCTGAGCAAGAACGGAGAATATTCCGAACAAATATATCATTCAATAAAAAATATATTTTTTTGCTGTTAAGATTTTCAAAGCTTTTTGTTGAGTGACAGGTTGAATAACATCCTATTTAATAATAATATTAAGATTACTGTAATAAATTGATATTTCATTTCTTCTTCCTCAAGTCAATAAGTTCTTCGTTTTTCGCACTAAACTTGCTGTAAATCCGTCATCACTCAGAAAAACTAAAGTATGCGTACCCTTTTTCTTCACTCCAAAAATGACCAAAACCGCCACTGACAAACTTGATTGAAATAAATTTAAATCGATTTTTATACAAATAAAACCATGAAAAATCGATTTTGAAGCCCATTTAGATAAGTAAATCGATTTAGAATGGATTAAATGCATTTTACGGCATGAAAAAAAAATCAATTTTTTGCCTTAAAATTGTAGACAAAAATCGATATTAAATGATTCAACTCGATTGTTTTTGTTAATAATATTTGGATGAAAATGAAACCGAAATAAGTTGAAAAAAATGAATTTAAATCGATTTAGAATCGATTGAATTTGATTTTTTAACTACATTTTGTTTCAATCTAAATCGAATTTACATTGATTGAAAATGATTTTTGTAATGTTCTTGTTGCTACATTATCTGTGTAAAATTGCTTGGATTCCATTTCTTGTCAGTAGGGGTAACCCATGCGACTTTTATTGGTGACAAGAAGTTTTGCCTAGAAAAAGCACTTTAATGAAAATTTCTTGCGCACCTTTGAAGGTAGAAACAATAATCTGTTTTATTTAGTACCTGTTTGAAGAATCTGTTTGATTTAGAGGTCTTATTTAGTACCTCTAAATGTCTCTTAGTATAAATCAAAGTCACTCAAAGAACTTAACTGTCTTCTTTGATTTAATGACGGTTTAATAGGACGTTTTTATTGAAATGGAATCCTATGATTAATGATGGTTGCTGTGACCAATTTGAACTCCAAAAAATAGCTTTAGGTAAAGCTGGCAAAAAATATCTGAACTTGCAAACTTTATCAACTTCAAGCCTAGCAAACTGATGATACATATGCCAACGGCCAACTTTTCTGTGTTATGCAAAATAAGTGTATTGAGCTGTAAAAGGAGTTGTTGTTATCTATACAATCTGACATCAGCTGGCCGGTGCAAGCTTAGATGCTCGTTTTTTTGTCCTTTAAAATGAAAAGAAATGACTTCTGCGAGTCAATTTTAAGTCAATGAAACTTTTGGACTTAAATAAAGACCCCACAGTTGACTAAATTTTGAACCTCCTTGGGGTTTAAACTTGACTGACCTTTAAACTGAAATAGGACCTTAAATTGGCTGCCACTTCAACAGAAATAAACGACACAAACTTTACTGACCTTTGAACTGAAATAAGGCATGAACTTGACTGACCTTTGAAAGGAAACACGAGACGAACTAGAATGACATCTAAAATGAAATTTGCAACACAAACTGGACTGACCTTTGAACTTTGCGTGAGTGGGTCTCCAAATTCGTCCATGTACATGGCCAGTTGATGTGGCAAATTGGAGGCGAAAAAAATGATCGCATCGGCAAAAAACAACTTAGTGAGTCGGATTTGAACAAGGGTAACATTTGACCTCTGACTCGTCTTCTGAATATGCAGTGCGATTACCGAGTAGCAAACGATTTGGCATACGAATGGGAGGATGAAATTCGTGAATGATATCGGAAGAAACGACTGCACCCAAAAATATCCAGGGTTACACTTCGTGCGCCCGACAGCGGAGACTGTGAGTTCCGAGTAGAGAAACGCGCGCACTAAAAATGCAGCACAGAATGCGTAGAATATACCCATGGCTATGATTTTGTTCCGAAGGGTGAGGATGCTTTTGCTGTTTAATGGGTATGCCATCATGACTACCCGTTCCAGGGCTATTAGGACATTGACCCAAGGGTAGCAGAGGTACTCGACTACTCCATAAGTGGCCATGAACTTGCAATGACCCGCCATGTGATGTCGAAAATGGTCGGCCAGAAAGTGATATCTGAAAAACAAATGAACCAATTTTGGCAGATTTACAAAAACTACGGTTTCGGTCAGGGCGGGATCTAGGATTTTCTCGAGGGGGCGGATTTTCAAAAAAAAAAATTCGAAAATTTTGTCGACCTTTGTTTTAGGTCGACTAAATTGATTTTCCGAGCTCTCCCAAAGCAATAAAAAGACCCCGTTTTGGCCTAAATCCGCCTTCGCCCCCTCCCCTTAAATCCGCCCTGGTTTGGGTTTTAAATGACGCTTCTGAAAAAACTTCTGAATTATTACTTATAAATCAAAACTTAATAAAGCAGTTTATCATATAATAACAACTTCGATTACTAGTTGACGCTTTTTCTGCTAATAAACTCAGCAGAAACCTTCATTTGCACAAAAACAGATCTGACAAAAACAAACAAACTTTTCGCTTAATGTAATCAGTTAATTTTGAGCGAGGTTTCTCCTTTTGTGGGCTTCGACAAAACTGCTGATTTAAAAAGTTGATAATTAGTTGAATGGAAAAAATCGGCCCGAGCATAAATAATCGGTTATTTTTTTGAAAGTCAGAACAAATATATATCTTTGGGGATGCTTTCCTAAAAAAAAATTCAAATAGTTTTTTTTTGAAAATGTCATCAATGTTTTTAAAATGAACACTGCTTAGACCTTAAAAAGCAGTCGCAACATTCAGGGCTTCGCCCTGATACGAGCATAGTAATGTTTCAATTTTTGGTTTGATGAACAAAAACTTTATTGGCTTTGTTCAACTCAATTTTTTAATTTTGGCACTCTTGATCAAGTTTATTGAGCTTTTTTTTCTACTTCGGTACTCATGAATGGAAACCCTCCTTTTTGTGCCTCTTTTTCAGTTTGGTCCTGTTTGACCTAACGGCGACAGTTTTTATCAATTTTAAATTGACTGCGATACTCAACATTACAGTAACCGTACAGTAATCCTGCTGCAGTTTGTTAGTTCATTAATGTTCTCTAAACTGTATCTAAATTCAAATTCAAAATCAACCTTGGCTCCTTGGAATATAGAGGTCAACATTACAGACGAATATCGGGATTTAGATGGGTCAATTCAGCCTCGGATTAGATTATTGACCCTTGAACACCAAAAACGTCCCTCTCTTTGGAACAAAATGGCGCTGTTATTCAAGCAGCAGATCCATTTTTGAGTCTTTTTTGGAATATTTTTTACCAAAAAATCAGAATTGTCAGCTCGCCCTTTCCCCTCAAGTTTGATATATATTTACAAAGTTAATCAGAACTATTCGGTCCAAAGATGGTTATTTTAAAATAGTATCAAAAGGTTTCCCGTGCCAAGCCGAGGTGAAGGAGGGGAGGGGTTTTGGTTCCATAATCCTGGAACCCGCCCTTTCCTAAACCCTCCCTGACAAAGAGGTTAATCATTCTGGTTGAGCTGTAATGAATGAAATTGCCATTGATAGCTAAGTTTGTACCTGACTCGTGAAATCTATCTGGTTGCTATGTTAATCATGTCCTTTGTTCAGTCTTCAAAACTAAATTTTGTCCCATTTGAAAAAATATCCATCAATCTTCTGCATATTAAATGCAGCTGTGCATGTTTTTCAAAAATCAGCATAATTTGGACGAAAATTTACAACTCATAATAAATGTCTGAATCTACTTGCTTCCACGTGTATTTTTTACCCGCTTGTTGTTTATGGATCATAAAACCTGCAACCAGCATAAGTTAAACCAGATAATAAACAGGATAATAACTAGCGGGCTGTTCGTGCCACAGACGGTCCGAATTGCAGAAATTTTTACTAATTAACAACGTTTTGACTGTCCAAAATATTTTATGTTTGGACCATTTTTTTCGCGGGGGGAGGGCGGTGGATTGAGAACCAACATAGGACATGTTTAATTCTTAACGTACAACCGTTACTGTGCTTCTGTTAAAACACACTTATGCAATTTTTTTGAACTGGTAGCTACTGCCTCAATCTCAAGAATAAAGCACGGTTCATGGTGCGTCTCGAACCACTGACCTGTGGAGTGAAGCGGTGATTTTGGTCACTTCACCACCGCTCCCTGACTGAATTGACACATAGACACAATTATAAATACTGAATTCTATTTGGTTATATTATAACTTTTTTTGCTCTTTCTGTCATGAGGAAGTAATACCCTCTCAACTAACCTTAGACATTGGTAGAATATGGAGATGGCGCTCATAGTGTTGATAACAGATTTGTTGGCAATCAGGAAAAATGGCGCCTTGTGTAGGGACTTCTCAAAGACAATGAGCAGAAGCAAGGGAATGTTAAACACCATGGCACAAATAAACAGAGGGTAATTTAGCAATTTCACAACCACTCGCATGACATCCTCTTCCGCACCTTTTGGGTATTTTCTGTTAGCCCCCCCCCCCCCCCCCATCCAATCATGATTTTTTTCAGCCCATTTTTTTTCAAAGTTTAATCAAATACTGCATCCAAACTGAAAAACTTTGTACAGAGTTGGTCAGAAACCAGTTTTTTTCAACCAAAGTTACTTCAAAACTTTTTTTGAGTTGTTTTTGGTATTTTTTTGCAATTGTTTTGAGCGACACAGGTCTCTTGATAATCTCTAGGGGTGCCAAAAAGGGCTTAATTCAGTTTTTCTATCAGTTTTTATCTGCATTTAACTTTTCGTTTTTTGATAATTTATGATTCAATTTGTCATAGAAAAAAAACTGATAAAAATTTCTCGATTTGGGGGATAGCAGAAAAAACCCGACCGTTGTTCATGCCGGCCGCTGATGATGCAGTTGTCGTAAAAGATGAATAGTTGGACAGAATTTGACCTTCTGTGACATAAGTGACACCATGCATGGGATAACTTGTCTGACCTTGCAGAATTACTGAGAGCTGATCAAACTTAGAATAAGAATCAGCCATTTTGTTTTCGTTTTTCACTAATCTGTCGATAGTATTCAAAACAAGAGCGATTTAGATCTGATATAATGAAGAAAGACAATTTATAGATAATATTTGTAATTTAGATTCAATTTAGGATAATGTAGAGTAACGTTTGAAACAAAACAGAGTTTAATGAGTTGGAAACGATTTTTTTGTTCCGTAAAAGCGATGAAAAATTCAAACCTAGATAGTTTTATCTTCAGAATAAATAACCTTCAATAAAATTAAGCAAAAGTAAATGCGATTGGTTGGTTGCATTTTAACAAAAGGTAAGCTTTCAATTGATAAACAATATTTTTGCAACAAAGGTTTGTGAAGTCTTATTTCCGAAAACCGATTTCTGAGGTCGTGGTCTAATTTGTAGTCTAATTATCTGAAATAATTCAAAGTAGTTAAATTTAACGAGCTGAAAACATCTAGCAAGAAAAGAAGTTTTGGTCAATTTGGTATCATAGGAATTTTTCAAATTTTAGCAGCCTTGAGTCTACAAAAGACTTTATATTTCCTATTAGGAGGCAATTTGGGAGGGAAAGTGCCAAAAATAGGGGCGTTTTCGCTACATAAAAATAATTCAACCGGTGTAAGATTTCACTTTTCCCACCTCTGTTTTGAAAACGATTCGTGCTGCAAAATAGAAAAAGATAGAAGTAATTTGAGATAAATTAAGCAGCACAGCTCAGCCAGTGTGAGATTTTTTATAAAAAGCGTCTCTGTTTATTTTTCATTATTGTTAGAAATAGACTTATTTCACTTGAGCCAACCACAATTTCGCATTTTTTCACTTTTTTAACAGCAAAAGGAAGGATTTGTACCATCATCTACTTTTTGTCAAAGTGAAAATGATTTAATCAATTTAAGAGCTGTCTTAATGCTATCGGTACATCCCATATTCGGTGTAATCTTAAGACTGTCAAATTAATTTTGCCCACGTGATCTGCTTCTTCGCAATTGACATGCCGGCCGGCGGGCTACTTGTTCGAAACACGGGTACTACAAATGGAACGGGCGAGATATATAACACCAATAGTTAAAGCAAGGGTACAATATTCATGTTTGGTCCTTCAATTGGAAAAACAATCAGCGGGTTCCTAGCTCATTTTATTAACTCCAGCAAATATTCCCCAAAAACCGGATCTATTTTTCATTATTCAGCTTTATTTATTTGCCCGCAGCATTTGCTTTTAACTCTTCCCAATGTATTCTATACTATCTAGAACTTAAATCTAAAATAGCTTTCAGGGGCAGGCAAAATATTATAAAAAATAACTTAGGCGAACGCTAAGCTCAATTTGACCCGAGGTCAACTGAACGAAAACGAATATTGATCACAGATCTTCAAATGTGCTGTAAAAACCACGGAGAGTTATATTGACAGGTATCGTAACAGCAGAGAGAACAAAATTTCCCAAAAAGATATGTAAAGTTTGTTGTTACCGGAATTACTTTAAGTAATTCACGCTGCGAAAACAATTATTCCTTTTCCTAATTTCAGAAACCAGAATCGCATGCCAGCTTTTGGAGGTCGAAACTCTGTGAAAACTTTTCTTGATACAGATCATTTGGTAAAGAAAAATATACACACCCGTTTGCTGTACAAGTACTTCCGCATTAAACAAAGATATCAAAAAGTATCAAAAAATATAAATTTTTCAATTTTTAAAAGATTTTTTTTTCAAGTCGTTGGAGAAAATTTCAAGGCGTTGAAGAAAGCTACGAACAGGAAGTAAAGATAACTAAATTATCGTTGAGTCTTAGTAGGCTTAACCTTTTGAATAATTTCATCCAACCCTGCATTCAAAATTGCTTTAAAAATGGAATACTAATTTTTGACATTGAGACAGCTTTTTGTTCCGACTTTCGATACGAAAGTAACGGAATGTTTGTGCTCGGGGTGAGTTTTTTTTCTTCAGACAAATTTCGACTTTTTAACTAGCCATTTCTGACGGAATTTTTTAAATATAATTCAAAAGGTACTGTAGTCCTGGGCTTAAATTTGAAAAGATATTTCACCTGTGATCATTTTTCGTAAAGTTATGGGGGTTTAAAGATTGCCATTATGGCCAATATGGGACAATTAACGGGCGATATATTTCGCGCTATTAACGCGGAAGCGGAGATTTAATCCGTCTTAGAAATAGTTCCAAATTGGTTGAAAGAAGCTTAATTGCCATAATTGATTTGTTGCAAGGAGCGAAATCTAATATTTTGTACTTTATATGGTGTATGGGGGGATGATTTTAACAAAAAAATTTCAAATTTTAGAAAAAAAAATCTTTTTTACATCTAACTTTTTTAAGGTTATTACTGCTCCATAAACCTTAAAAAACAGTCGGAACAATCAGGGCTTCGCCCTGATACGAGCAGTCTTGTTAATTTTGTTTTTGAACTAAGCAAGACCAATAGGACTTTAATTCAACGCTGAGTGGACAAAATGAACAAGATTGCTCGTATCAGGGCGAAGCCCTGAATGTTCCGACCGCCTTTTAAGGTTTATGGAACAGGAGTAATAACATAAAAAAATTAAATGAAATAAAATAAAATGAAAAAAAAATTTTCTTAAACTTGAAATTTTTTATGAAAATCATCCCCCCACACGCCATATAAAGTACAAAAAGGTAGATTTCGTTCCTTGTAGCAAATCAATTATGGCAGATAAGCTTCGTTCAACCAATTTGGAACAATTTATAAGACGGATTAAATCTCCGCTTACCCGTTAATAGCGCGAATTATATCGCGCGTTAATTGTCCCAAATTGGTCAAAATGGCCAAAATGGCAATCTTTAAACCCTCACAATTTTACGAAAAATGATCACAGGTGAAGAATCTTTTCAAATTTAAGCTGCCTTTTAAGGTTTATGGAGCATCAGTAATGATATAAAAAATTAAATGAAATAAAATAAAATGAAAATTTTTTTTCTAAAATTTGAAATTTTTTAAATAAAAATCATCCCCCCACACGCCATATAAAGTACAAAAAGGTAGATTTAGTTCCTTGTAACGAATCAATTATGGCAAATAAGCTTCGTTCAACCAATTTGGAACGATTTATAAGACGGATTAAATCTCCGCTTACCCGTTAATAGCGCGAATTATATCGCGCGTTAATTGTTCCAAATTGATCAAAATGGCCAAAATGGCAATCTTTAAACCCTCACAATTTTACGAAAAATGATCACAGTTGAAGTATCTTTTCAAATTTAAACTCAGGACAACAATACTTTTTGAATTATATAAAAAAATTCCGTCAAAAATGTCTAGTTAAAAAGTCGAAATTTGTCTGAAGAAAAAAAACCCAACCCGAGCACAAATATTCCGTTACTTTCGTATCGAAAGTCGGAACAATAATAACTGATTGTAATAATTGATTGACTATTACAAAATGAGTAATAATTGATTGAATAAAAGCAGCCAAAGTAACCGTTTTTGAGGTAGAACTGTCGGTTCGATTTTTGAAAAAATAAAGTGCACTATATTTGTTCTGGTACAATTCGTGACGGATTATCACGGATTATATTTGTCTAACGTCCATTTTGAAAATTACCATTTTTGTTCTTTCGACTGAATAATTTAACGCAGCATTGTCTGATACTTTCTCATGTATATTAGTCTATGAATTGAAAACTTCCGATAACTTTTCTCATTATTGAGACAATGTTTTATAATTTAGAAGTACTTTTGTTTTTTCAAATTTCCATTACTGAGACAAATAAAAAAAATGGAGCTAGATTTACAACTTTTTGACTCAAATCAGCATCATATGACCATACCTTAAAAGCAGACCCCTTAATCGAGTGATAGAAAACTTTTCATGTTGGTAAAATAGTATCCTAGTATCCGGTTACTTTGCAAGTAGCACAGATTGCTTCCGCCCACAAAAACATTCACAAAAAGATTCTTTTTTAACATTCTTCATTCGAAATAGATGTTATTTTTGAGCTCCAGTCTAGAATTAATGGCTTCTAAGTAACTTGAAAAACAACAAAAGATAGCTCTTCTCAAAAAAACTCACTTGCTTGGTTATTTTTGTAGCAACTGACAAGTTTTAGCTGATTGAAAGCTAAAACTTTAGAAGAAATTTTAAATTAGAAACCCAAAATGCCCATAAGTATAGACACAACATTAAGAGAAACGAAAAAAAAGTTCATTCAATTCATCTCAACAGAAAAATCGTAGCAAAAATGTTCAAAGACGGTAATTTTCTACAGACCGAAATTTTCTGTGCATGCTATCTACATTTTCACCAATATGAAACCAATTTTTCGCACGCTGGTATGATTTTTTTGAAAACTTCTTGTTGTTCAGTTACTTCTGAAACGATTTAATTGTTCCGACTTTCAGAGAAAAAGAGGACTATAAATGCTTGGGGTGGTTTTTAAAATTCAGACTAACTTTACAAACAAAGTTGGCAATGTGTTTACATAGCGTAGTCTTAGCAATAATCAATTTATATTATCCCGGAAAAAGATTGATAATTCAAGAGCAGAAACGGTCTGGTAGTCGAATTAATCTAATTAATCTAACTTAATTGGCTTGTACAAACCTATTTTTCATCTTAAACTGAAGTTCAGAAAAATTACAAATTAATTGCGGCTTATTTTGCTCATCGACTGTTCAACTATGGAAATTTAGTTTTAGCAAAAAGATTATCCGAAACACTTTCTTTTTTTACGGCAATGCTTTATCAACTAAACAGTCATTCTCGTAGCGGGTATGAGTCGCGAGATGAAAATGGTCTTTCGCTAAATCTCGGCATTTTTGAACTCGTTTTTCAACGTTCGGCGCTCTTGTACTTCGGCATTCTTGTACTGAATAAGGATCAGGGTTAGGTTTAGGCTTTTGCTTATTATTGTTTCACACACTTTATTGGCTCTGATCCTATTCTTCGACAAAACCACCAGCGCGTAGTCACAGAGCCGCATTTTTGGATTATCGAAAAAAACTAAACTATGTTTTTTAAAGGTAATTAGCAACAAAACAAAATAAAACTAAATACACAACTTAGACTACCTCACTTCAAACAATTAGAAATCCCATTTTTCAAAACAATGCTGACCAAAAACCCAATTGACGAGATTTTCTTTCATGTTCTAGCTTTGCTTTCATAGAATTACATAGCAAAAAAAAACGCGACGATTTCAAAACGCAATAGTTTTTTTTGGCATTTTCGGTTCCCGGGTGTGATACTCTAAGGAACTCTGAGTTGTGTGTAATAATAAGTTTACTTAATATTTATTTCAAAGTTCTCTGAATTGAAATGTCTTCTCAGAGAGATAGCTGCCTAGCTACTTTCTAGCTTAACATAACTGCCATGTGTACATGGTTGCAAGGATAAATCTCATTTGACATGGAACTGAATATATAATACACTAAATA